TGATCATCGTCATGAAATTGAAAAGTGTGACAATTATTCCTTATATTTACATGCTTTTGATTCCGCCAATCCACGTGCTACAAGCCCTGCGTCTGTCTAGGTATTTGTCCCGCCTTGCACGTGATTTTTTTAACCGATTGATGAACAAGAACATTGATGGAGAAATAAAGTACATTGATAGCTATTTGTAATTTTATCTCGGACAAGGACATTAGAAATGTAAATATTAGAAAATAAACTCAAATAAGTAAATTGAACGAATTGTGGTTACTTGATTTCTGTGTCTTAGTGGACGGTGTCCTTATTTATGGCATATTGCATCAAATATGAATGCCATTCACCTAAGTTATATTTTTTGAACATTAAGTCAAATATTGTGGTCAGGGGGTCAAAAATCATAGCATGCTCGGAAACATATTGTTCTAGGTAATGCACGTGTCAAAAATGAAGGTCACATCTCTAAGTATGAATTTGTGAAATACATGTAACAGTCCTGTAAAAAAGGAATATTTGTGTCACGAGGGGATTTTTAAAAAAACATTTGTTTTGATCCGTTGATTTCTATAGTGAAAACACATTATACCAAAATTTTAGAGTTATCTCTCTTTGTTTTCCCAAATAAGTAATGTTTTATGAAATTCCATATCATTATCTAAAAAAATTAAAAATATTAAAAATTTATCGAATGTGTTAACTTTTGAAAATTGAATTGGAGGTAGGCGGGAGAACAATACTATCGTTCGCAGATCTTACACTAATATAAAGGTCTCTCTATGTATGTGTGTGTACATGTATGTTTTGTGTCGTGTGGTTGACAGGGGTTCGAGGAAATTTTAGACAAATTAATCGAACATTAAAATCAATGCGAGGAGATTTTTAGTAGACATTTCATCATTTATCATATCAGGTATCGCTGAAAGATTACTAGTATGCAATAAAACAAATAGTGTTAAGTCGTAAGTGTCACTATCGATATCACAAACTCTTTTAAATCCATATATTATCATGGAATTGTTAATTAAAATTATATACCCTGCAAATGTAATCGTTTTTAATTAAAATAAAAAAAAAAACCCACTTCAATACTATTTGATTGAAAAACGAACAAAAAATTAATAGAGAGTAAATGTATTCTGACTATCCTAAGTCTGATGTTGTGAATCCATAATTATTTATTTGATAAAATGCTGATATTTCATTCAAAAATAGGAAAGGCACAAACAAGAGAGTTGACACATCCGAACGGAGTTGGGTTTGAGGTTGTAGATGAGCTTGTAGCTCCACTATATGGAAAGAACCACCATGTTTTTGTTGACAACTTTTTTGGAAGTCCAACACTTTGCGACCATCTGCACCAAAATCAGACATACCTAACCTCAACTGTGAGAGACGCAAGGTGCAAAATTGAATAAATATTCAAAAATAAAACAAAAATATGAATCAGAACCACCCCCTCCCCTAAGAATGAAAATTTAAGTCTATAGATGTACAGGAATTTTTTAAAATAAAATAATCGCAACTACATGTAGTCTAATAAATGCCCCAAATAATAATCTTTGAAAAATAAAAAAAAAATAGTTAGTTGACTTGTATTTGTTAATTATATAAATAGATTAATTAATCAACTTATAATTAGTTTTACGGTTGTTGTTATTCAAAATAATATAACCATGCTTAAAATTTGTGTAAAGAAAAGGTATGCCCAGATCCTTTCGCCAAACAAAGGTTCAGAAGGGAGATATGGTGGCAAAACAGTCTGGTCCTGTGATGGCAATGAAATACGGAGACAGAAAAAACATCACCTTGATATCTACTTACGGAACCCCAATGTAAATAAATTAATATCCTGAATATATTTCTTATAAAAATTTGCTTTTGTTCCTTTTGAATTTAAATCAATAATTTGGTAAATTTTATTTAGTGTTTGGTTGTTTCCCACCCTATGCCCCCCTTTTAAAAATATATTGTTAAATAATTATAGTTTGGAGGAAAATCAAAATAGCAGAGGTGTTGCCAAGCGGCTGCCCAATGTTGTCAATCTGTACAACAAGTACATGGGAGGAGTCGATCTAGCAGATGCTAAGGTTCAGACCTATGACCCAGACATCCGGTCTTTAAAAATGTGGAAAAAAATTCTCACAAACATTCTCCTGCGCATCGTTGGTGAGTTCAAATTCATAAAGACATCAGTTACACATACAGATGATGTGATTACATGCAGGATTTTATAAAGCCTTGTCCCTAACATGTGCAATGCAAAATATAGATAAAACAATTTTAACTTAGACATGTTCTTATCCACTGGCAGGAACTTTTTCTGGACAACCCCCTTCCCCAGTTCAAACCAGCTAAAACAAAACATGGACTCGGGAAAAAAAAATATTTGACAACCCACTGCTCCTTGCAAAAATCTTGCTCAAACCTCCAAAACTTAATGCCTTTAATATGTATAATATTTTGCGGTGAAGTGATGAGAGTTGAATTTTCATTATAAACATAACTTTCCATACTACGAGGGTTGTCCCATAAAATCGTGGACAAAACGTTTTTCTCGAAAAGTAATGGGCGCACTAAGCTGAAAATTTCAGTAAATATTTATTTATCATATTTGACTGCATGATAATTTTTTTGATAAAATATAGGCAAAAATAAAGATTTTATTATGCTTGAATGTGCACGGGGTATTGTCCTACGGCGCACGGACAGAAAACCAAGGTTTTATTAAAGAATACACAAGTTTGAATTCAAAATAAAAGTTTTAAATACATAAGATTTGGATTAAAATTATCCTAATTCATTTGCACAATCAATTTTGTAGTCTTTGTAAAAATTTTAAGGTATTTGGCTAATTTTTGGCAGTTTCTCGAGCATTCGAAATGGGAAAGTGGTAAACACAACACACGAAAAATGGAGACGTTTTATGACGTTACGGAGCACTGGAGAGCAGTTCCGTTTTAATTCGATGTTGTAATGACACCTTTAGAGACTTGAAATGACCATAGAAGAAAAAAGATTATAAAAATATCACCATATCTTAAGTATACAAATGAAATAGGAGTTTTCTTAGCGAAGTCTTATTTGATGGAGTCCCTTGGGAGTACAAAACATACGGACAAACTCCTTATGTTATAGCAAAAGACGCTGTCACAGTAGACCGCCGATATGAGATTTCCTATTAGTTGAATGATGGTGAGAATATTGTCCGTAACTTACTGATAAATCTTCAGAAGATCGCATGAGGGTGCCAATTTGTTCTTCGACTGTTTATGGAGACTAAAGAATGTGTATCAATGAAACTCCTAAATTTAAGCCCGACTCATCCAACTTCATTTTCAGCAAAGATAAAACGTGACGCTATTTTAGACACTTTGACGTTATAATCCATGCGCCGTAAGGTGATACAACACATGGCATAAGATCACATAATTTGTTTATTTATGCATATATTTATCTGAAATTTGCTGTGCATATTACTAAAATATGTACTAAATAATAGTGAAAATTTCAGAACGCAGAGATGTTTATTTTTTACACTAGACAACTTGTCCACGATTTTACGGGACAACCCTCGTATTTTACGAGGGGTAAATGTGTTTCCTGGGAGGAATTTATAATGCATTCTTCAACCGCATCACATTACACATCAACTATATACTCTAATGAAAAAAATTAATAAATTGTAAACAAACATTTTGTTTTTGATTTTGAGCATATTTAACTGACGACAATTATAACACTTTTATTAAACTTTATGCAGTGAATAGTTACATAATCTACCAACAAAATAGAGGTTTAAGAAGGAAAATGTCAAGGCTGGAGTTTACTATGAAACTGTGCCAGGAACTTGTTGGGGAATACAGAGCCGGGGGTCAAAGATCAGGACCAGCCCAGTGCATAGAGCGCTTGACAGCCCGACACTTTGTCGATTACGCCCCTGGTATTTCACTTCTTATAAGTTCTGAGTGTATAACTGATAATTCTCATCCTTAAGATATCATTCAAATATGACTTAATTTTTCATGTTTTTATCCATCTTTACAGACGGTAAAAGAGGGAGATGCAAGGTTTGCACAAAGAAAACAAGATTCATGTGCGCTGACTGTGACGCAGCCCTCTGCGTAGGCCAATGCTTCCGGGTATTTCATACCCAGAGGTATTTCCGGGAGCAATAGCTGCTCCATGCAAACGGACGTGTACATCATCGTGTGTCTTTGTGAACATGAACATTAGATCTACATGATGACTGTAATGATGTGACAGATTCAACAGCACACACCTTCCGTCTTTCTTTCTGGCTTTGAAGACTTATATGAAATTTCCGTATTTCTGCTTGAAATTTAAAAAAATATATATACCAATTATATAAATTATACAGATATAAAAATACAGTTAAAGCGGGAACTTATTAGTTTTTTATCGATTGTATTGATTTTTAAAATATGCCCGAAATAAATAATTACTTAGGAAGTACACTGCTGCAACGGGGATTTCATTGAAAGTTTTAAGATGTAAGTTTACGTTATTAGTATTTAACACGTGCACTGTTTATCATATAAAACTTAAAATTACTAGGGTTACAGTCCACTTTACCTTGACCTTCGACCTACTTTTCAAAATATATTGCAGAGGGTTGAATTTAATTTATCTCTTTTGAATTTAGAGCGGCGTTGATTTGATAAATCGCTTTTTTATAGAGGCCCTACAAGTTTCTAAGCTCATTATAATGTATACTTTGACACTGTATGAAAGACAGCAGGCACAAAAACGGAAACTTAAGTAATATGAAAATACATCGGAATTCCAAAATGAATGGTGTAGAATTACAATTGTGGTAAAGACAGACTGAAGTCCCGTCTATGCTGAAGACATCGGACAGTCGGACCTGACCGATGTGCAGTGCCTCTAGATCTGGTTCGATGCGTCATTTTCTACACCGGACCGGAATGTCCGATGTCTCAGAGTAAAAAAAATAAATGTTGCCGACATTGCTGTATAATATCTTTTGTATCCCAGATCGTATTGATTGTAAAGAAACTTACATGCATTTATTTCGTCATAAAACTTCTTTGCTGAGCGAAGACTGTGGCTTATTTGCATAACTTTTCCTTAACAATATTTCCATAAAATAGTGAAATTATAATTAAAATACTTTTTATTTTTCTATACAATGCTATATACTACCTCATTTTTTCCAAATGAGATATTTATAAGAATTAATCTTTATAGCGTAAATTAAAAAAAAAATATCTGCTTATTGTTAATTTGTTTAAAGCATTCATATTTTTCTTACTCGTTCACATTATCCTTTTCCCGTAAAATTTGTCATTACGCGGATTTTTTTCATGATTGTGACGTAATATAAGCGAAGGAGCTGACGTCATTAAATCAGAATTGAAATGTCCCTGTGTTCGTTATTTAGTAATATGTTTTGTAATTTTATCATTATAATCTAAATTTTTCTGTAGAAAGTTGTTTATAATTAAACGAATATTCCATGCATTCTGATATATGTAAGCAATAGTTCTGGCGTATCAACTGCACAAATTAGACACAGTTCTGGCAGTAAGAGGGTTATTCCGCCGACAGTAAAATGTCCAAACTTTTCTCCGTGCATCATCACTTGAAAAGCTAAAACTTAGTCCGCTCCCCTTTTTGTGAATATTCGAACAACCATAGGCAGCACAATAAACCATGTCACTAATACCCAACTATTATCACCACGTCTGACGAGAATAATGGTAATTATTTAATCCAATTAGGAGATAATCCAAACTGTGTCGGA